TTTTCTGTTTTTCTTATAAGGGGTTATGTTTATTTATTTAGAAGATACTATTAGGATTTATTTGTTAAACTGCTGTTTCATTAATCTGGTGACTTTTTTTTTTTTTTATTTCTAAGCAATTATTCCATGGTACTCCAGTTACAATTGAGAATTTCTTAAATTGGAAGGCCAAGTTTGATGCAGAACTCTTGGAAATTAAAAAGAAAAGGATGAAAGAAGAAGAACAAGCAGGAAAAAATAAATTAAGTGGTATGATTCCCCTGACATTCCTGTTCTTCCTAAACCCTCCTGTATCATTTTTTACATAGCAAGAGGATCATTTGGTCAGATTTCTGTAAGAAAATAATATACATAGGCATCTAGGACAAAAAGAGAAAACATATCTACCAGATGATATTTCTCTACTCATAATTTGTAATTAATTTTTATGGCTTATCTTTGATATAAGTGTTATAATTGCTAGATCCTATGATAGAAGGACATTCAGGATCATGTCTTAGAAGTAGTAGAGTCAAACCCATTTGTTTTTCTAGTACCCTAAGGCAGACTGAGTCTTCACTTGTTCCATTTTAATGCAGATACGTTTCATATGCCACTCAGCTACTGAATACATTCAGAAATTTATTGAAATTCACAGAAAAAAGAGGTTTTCAAACTTGCTTTCTAAGTGTCGTAGTGAAAATGGAGAAAAACTATGCCATTTGAATTAAACATACTTTTTTTTTAAAGGGAAACAACTATTTGAAACGGATCATAATCTTGACACATCTGATATCCAGTTCTTGGAGGATGGTAAGATAATATTAGAATTCCACATGTAGGATGAGCACAGTAGCTCAAACCTGTAATCCCAGCATTTTGGAGAGCCAAGGCAGGAGGAGTGCTTGAGCCCAGGAGTTTGAGACCAGACTGGGCAACATAGTGAAACCCTGACTCTATTAAAATAATAATAATAATAATAATTCCACATATATATAATGTAGTCTCTTTAATTTTGAACCATGAAAATCAAACTGAACTTTATTTATTGTACATTTTTCCTCCCAAGGCTGTTAAAAAATACATTTTGGAGAATAAATTCTAGTGGTTGACCAATTTATACATTTGAAATGAATGTTGTAATTCTATAGCAACATATATTTTAAATTTTTTGATAACTTAAGCAATATCAAAGATAGAAATAGATAAACAATGATGATCACACTATCCTCACAACTAGTAAACCAGGTTATTGTGACTCAGGTGACCTGTTTTCTTCAAATTTCTAGTATCACAGATCTGTGAAAACTATTCCATGGTCTGTCATGGAGCTTGTAAAAACCTGATGTTTAACGTCTAGCATTCCCTCTCACCAGCCTTTCATATGACTCTTAATGTATTTGGAGCATCTAGTCCCTTGTGCTTTTATCCTACCACCTATCCTCTTCTCTTCCATCTATCCATCATCCATTCATTCAGAAATATTTATTGCACTGTCCTGGCCACTGAGGATACAGCAGAGTACAGTATGGGCCAGTTCTTTCCCCTTGGGAGAGCTTATGGCCTACATGTGTTTTCTTAAACTGGGCTCCATACTCAGTCACACCTCTGATAGCACTCTAGAGTTCTGTACTTTGTTAACCTTTTGTTGTGTCTGTCTTACCAGTTGGGAATCCTTTAGCTTCTGGCCTTTCAACCTTGTTCTGAATTACCTGCTGAAGAAGGTTAAGAGGCAGTATTGATACAGCTTACTGCTAAATGCTTTCTAATCTAAGCTAGGCCTTTACTGACAGGCAACATTTTAAAGTTTTTGATACCTTTTCCTTTTCTGATTTAAATGTTTTGTCATTTTCACCTGGATTTTTGTGGTAGCTTCTTAAATTATTTCCCTAAATCTCTTCCTCCTTCTAGTGCCATTATCTATTCTATAGTCACTCCCTGTGAGATGGTATTTCTAAAACCCACATTTAATCATAAAATTTCTCTCCTTAAAATCCTTTGATGGTTTCCACTGCTTATAGGGAGAGAATGACCTACACAGTCTTTCTCAGTCTGGCCTTCATCTGTGTTACTTTCAGGTGTTTTTTCTCAGGAATTTCATCTTCCAGTTAGAATTATTCAAGGTCTTATATTTTCTCTCTCCCTTTGCATATACTTCTACCTAAAATTGCTTCCTCCTGGCTCCTTTTCTTCTTGGTGCATTCAAATTTATCATGAAGATATTTCAGACTTCATTTACTCCATGATGCCTTTGCTATGTCTCCTAGACAGAGCCGGTTATTCTTTGGCCAGGACTTAATTGTATTATCTACTTCAGACACACTGAAGAGTGAAGATGTTTAATGCAGAGCCTGGGTATTGTTTCCTATAGGCTTTAGACATTGTAACTGAAGGCATACCATTGGTTAAAAGGGGAACTGGGTGAGAATGAAGATCAAATCAAATCAATTAATTTACAAGTATGGCTGAGCTTTAACAATGTTTATCTGCCACTACTGGAAGACATAACTCCTCATACAGGTCCCATGGTCAGTGATAATTTTCTATAACCATGAGAACATATCATCCTTGTCTTCAACTTATAACATGCTACATTATAAATTCTAGTAAGCTGTTTTTAATAACTGGATTTTTAGATTATGAACTGGAAACATGAAGTTGCTCTTAAAATTTCAGAGTCTCTACTGACCAATACAAATCACTTTTGGTATGATATGTAGTAATTATAGTTTGGGATTTCATCACTCCTACCTCACATGCATATTTAGAGATTTCGGTTTGGTAGTGCCAATGAGTTGTATCTTTTATTTCTGAGTATAAGACTAAAGGTGATTTTTTTTTTCCAGCTGGAAACAACGTGGAGGTAGATGAGTCTTTGTTCCAAGAAATGGATGACTTGGAGCTGGAGGATGATGAAGATGATCCAGACTATAATCCTGCTGACCCAGAGAGTGACTCAGCTGACTAATGAACTGTCCCCATCTGCAGAGAGGCTTGACTGCCACAGCATCTGTGGCTATGCTCAGAGGGTTTTGTTTTCCTTTCTTTTTTTCTAAGAAAAAATTATTTTCAGGAGAATATTCTTCTGATAGCTTTCATCATTGAACTTAATAAACTGACCTTAAAATTTCAAATATAAAATGTTCAAGGCTTCTTACTGGTGAGCACAAGGTTACGTATTTAAAATCACCTAATATTGAGAGAGAACCTGCCTATAACACCAAGACTTGAAGGTAGGCTGGTGCTGTGCACATGAGCGAGTTTATACACAGGAAATTGGAGTAACTTGGAATTTCTGTGCTGGAGACTGTGGCTACTTCTGGATTTCAAGCATTGTCTTTTATATGAAGTGTGAGAAAACTGAGGTGACTAGCACATTAAACCATCTAGATTCTAGCCTCCAGGCACACTAAATTTAAGTCTTCACAAAACCAGGAGGCCCATATTATGATCAGGAATAAAATGAAGTTTAGCCTTCGTTTTGGTCCATTTTGTATTGCCATAAAGGAATATCTGAGGCTGGGTAATTTATAAAGAAAAGGATTTATTTGGCTCACAATTCTGAATGGCCAGGAAGTTCAAGATTGGGTATCTGCACCTGGTGATAGCCTCAGGCTGCTTCCACTCATGGTAGAAGGGGAAGGGGCACTATGTGTGTAGAGATCACATGGCCAGAGAGTGAGGGTAGAAGTGCCAGGGTTTTTTTTTGTTTTTTGTTTTTTTTTACAAGTAGCTTTGGTGGGAACTAGTGAAGTGAGAACTCCCTTACCTCTGCTCCCCACAGGAAGGCATTAGTCTATTTATGAGGGTTCTACCTGCCATAACCCAAACACCCCACTAGCCCGCATCTCCCAACACCACCACACTGGGGATCAAATTTCAATGTGGGATTTGGAGAGGACAAATATCCAAACCATAGCAGTCTTAGAGTATTTAAATTAGAATCATTTGTGGAGTTTCTAAAAGGTATGCATTCCTAGGCCCCTCTCAGGTTAGATTTACGAACACTGATCCCCAATCTGAATTTTAAAACAGCAAAATCTCATACTAGTTCTACAGATGATTCTGATACACAATCTGGATTAAGAAGCACTGTCCTGTAGTTGTGAAGTCTATATATTTTGGTATTTTCTTTACGTTTTCTCTAATTAACCAGTCTGAAGGAGTTTGAATTTTGGTGGTCGTACATCGTCTGCAAGAGAAACACATTAATATCTATGCACATAGAGTTCTTTGTAGTAATTTCGGATGATTGACTTGGTGGCTTCAGGTAGGAAAGCCAGGCTTCGTGCAAGTTATTCAGTCACTACAGTTTTGGAGGACTGACTCTTAACCCCAACAGGAAATCACTTGTGCTATTTTAAATTTATAAAGCTATTATAAAGAGCTGCCTCCAGTAAAAAATACATATGCCACATACCCACAGACGGCAATATTAATCATTTGTTATTGGAGTTAGACCTTATAATCAAAAAGCAAATGATTTAAGATAAAATTACCATTGAGGAGTTTAATACTTTTCAAGGAATCTTCACGTCAACCTTGATCCCAGACCAGTAGAATGGAATAACAACAGGAATGTTCAGCATTTCAATGCAGGGAGAAATCCAAAAGTTTGTCCTATGTAAGATTTTGCTTTTCCCATATTTTTGAAGCTGATCAGCAGATACATAAGAACCTGGAAGAAGCTGCTCAATTAAGGTTAAAAAAAAAAAAAAAAAGCAATTGTTAGCAATGTGGTGCTGAAATCAAGACTTAACTTTGAAGTGTCAAGAATGATACCCCACGCCCCATCCCCTTCATGTGATTTTTAAGAATTAGCTTTATATATTTCTCCAGGTATTAAAGTGGATGTCTACCTTTGCCATTTCAGAACCTAAAGGCAGAATCTAATGGTAAAATGAAGACAATCTCGTTAGTTCTAATAACTCAGATATTTTCATCTAGAGTAAATATTTACCACTGGCTTTGTATTCTGGGAATTAGCCCAAGACTATGCTGCTCAAATGGGTGCAAATATACTCTCAGGTTGCAATAACATGACTAGTAGTATTTGAAGCAATAATTGTTCCATCTTGGATTATCAGTTTTGCTCTTTGCTTGGCAAAGTTTTTGTTTTTCTATTTGTGCCAGTTGTATTAAAATATTACTAGGTTAAAAACAAACACAAATATATTTATTCACTACTGTATCCCTGTAATAATGCCTGGCGTGCAGTAGGCCCCTAATATTTGTTGAATGAATGAATTGTAGAATAGAGTACAAAATTAATTCTAATGTATTTTAAAGTAAAGCATGAGAGTTCAAAGAAATGTTCTATTTGCCATCTACAACTTGGAATAATGTTCCTAGATCCTGCTTCCTGCACTTTTGCCAGCAGAGGTGGATGCCTTGGGGAAAAAGTTGGATAAATGCTGATCTAAGGCAACACATCTAAATGGTTATGTGAACATTTCCCAGTTGAGGTAAAACTAAGAGGAATGATAATAACATCTCATCAATTTAAAGGATGAGTTCACTGATTGTACTGTCATACTCCAGAGATACATGTGCCAAGAAGCAAAGAGATACACTCTTGTATTCCAGAAAAACGATGATTTGTAAGTGTTCAATATTTGTGTGGCAGCCCTTTTAGGTGTAATGAAGTGTAACAGAAAAGTAAGTGAACTACTTCAAATAGCTCTCAATGTTTGTCTTTCAGAGGACATATGAGTCAGGCAGCAAAAGTTGGAGCCATTGTATGATTGTGTGTCAAAATGAGAGTCACACACTTCAAGACCTGTAGGGACTAATTTTAGAAAAAGACTCTTCAGAACAGATGACACATGAAATGTGAGTTTATGTAAACATGTAGATTTGAGTAGCATTAGTTTGTTTTCTGTTTAGGAACTGTATCAAGGTGACAAAGATGAAAGAATGCTGCCAGAAAGGTATATCGTTAAATTTTCAGGCTTCCATTGGTGAAGTTTCAAGTAACCTTTCACTTAAGTTACTTGTGTCAGAGGATGGATGATGGGGTCATTTAAATTGTTGGACAAAGTCATGAAAGGATTTTAAAATTTTGTCATAAAAATAATGATGTTTTTAATTTTACATCTAAAACGAATTTGCATTATCCTGTGTTAGTGACTGAATCTCAACTCAGTTCTCATTTTTTAGTTCAACTTTTAACAACTTTATTTTCATTGACACCATGGACAGCACAGTAAAAAAAAAATACACAAATTTCCTTTTCAGTTATTGATTTGGAATGATCACTTTAAAAGAGCCATCAAATACACCTACATGTTGAGCCACTCTTTATCATTAAGGTGAAAAGTTCATTTCAGTTAAGGTATTTGAGTGCTATTATGTGCCAGCCTTTCTTTGCGTTAATGTTTTTTTTTCCTCCCCTCCATGAAGGGAAGAAAAAAATTAATTCAGCCATGAGTTTTAATATTCTGGTGAGCACCTTATCCATTTGTAGCCACGCCAACAAATTTATTCTGTGACAGACCAAACTTACAAAGTCACTGCAATTTCAGCAAGCCCCATTCCCAACATGAGTGCTGTCCACGGTCCTGAACCATCAATGCTAAATAGTATTTAGTTGTTGATCTTCATCCTGTCATGCAGTTACATATTCCAGGAATACTGAACCAAGTGAGGACAAAGATAGCAGTGGGTTGCTGCAAAGGAGGGGAGGGGAGGGGAGAGAGAGCAAGTGAGAAAAAGAGAGACTAGTGGTGATGTTTTTTATAATAATTGAAGTAAAAAAGAGAGAGAAGAGCTTCTACCCAGTCCACCAAAGCTTTTTAATTTCCTTACATAATTAACATGATGAATTTTTAAATAATTGTTATATTTAGTTTTGTTTTTCCACCTTTTGGCCATTTCTACTACATATTTACTTATTTAAAAAAATACTTGCTAGACCTTCCTCTTACAGCTACTACCTATCTCTACCTTTGCAGCTGTTCTCCTTTACAGAATAATCTCTATTAGTTTTCTTGACTTCTTCATCTCCCTACACAAAGATGAAGGATATTTAGCTCTGAAACTCCTTCACTGTTGAATATTTATATTGTTTTCAATTTTTACATAATGAACAATGCATCACGAGATTATTGGCTGCAAATAAATAGGAAACATAAAACATAAAAGAAGTTTTAAGTTTAAATTTTTTTTAAAAAAAGGTAAACACAAAATATTTGCCAAAGATAAAGGGTTGCAAAGCTACCTTACGATGCGCTCTTATACCAATACTAAAATAAAACTTACAACAACAAAATTAGTGATTAGGAAATTACAGTTTTGATAAACTTGGCATTTCAATCAAAGTCATATTTGCCACCATTCTCTCAGTAGCTTTAGGCCAATTTCCAAATTGCTTTCAACAAATTAGTTTTATTTGTTTATATTATATATGTATAATTTAAATTATATTTATAATTTTTTCAGTCAGATTTCCTGGAGAACAATAGTTGTTAGGTGCCTACCAGAAAATAAGACTAGAAAGTCATGTTGGAGCCATATTGTGGAAGGCTAAGGAAGTGGGATGGGAGCAAAGGTCATGTCAATTATATACTAAGCTTATATTCTATGCAAACTAACCCCTTCCTACCACATATATTATTGAAAAATTATTTGCTTGCTATTTTATCAATGTCTTTTATAAATTAAAATTTTTCTTATTACAACTATATCTTAAAAACACCAATAAAATTGCCAGATCATTAATATTCCTGCTTTTATTATTATAAGATAATGTTCCAGTTCTTCAAATATACCTTTGAGTAGAAGGATGGACCTGAAAATTGATTTGGGTTTATTTAAGAGAAAAAGAAACCTTTCAACAATCCTAAATCTCAGATTTTTAATAGCATTTTTCTTGTTTATGGCCAGTTTCCTATTTATTTCCTATTATTGTTTGACAGTGCCCATTTATATTGGAAAATCAAAATGGAAAAGTACATTAGAAAACATAAGTCCTTCAACTTAAAGATGTACGATATTGGTATCTGGTTGAGTAAGTTTCTAGTCAGAGGTTTTTCTAGTCATTTCTGTTCAAAAGTGGGATCCACCAGAATGTACACGTGATGATGGACCTTGTCTGTCTGCTCCCCAGTTTATTGTTACTCTGAGAATAATGCCTAGCAGAGGGCAGGCACTCTGTAAATACTTGTTGAGTGTATACATGAATAAGTCCTTTTGTACTACTGTTTTGTAACATTGTAATTTTTATTTTATTTTTTTGAGATAGGGTCTCACTTGTCACCCAGGCTGGAATGCAGTGGCGTGATCTCAGCTCACTGCAGCCTTGACCTGCTGTGCTCAAGCCATCCTCCCACCTTAGCTGCCAAATTAACTGGGACTACAGGCATGCGCTACCACACCTGGCTTACTATTATTATTATTTGTATTTTTTGTAGAGATAGGGTTTCACCATGTTGCTCAGTGTGGTCTTGAACTCCTGGGCTCAAGCAATCCGCATGCCTCGGCCTCCCAAAGTGCTAGGGATTACAGGCATAAGCCACAACATCTGGCCCCTGTAATTTTTAAAATACATAATTTGTTAGATATATAGATTGGGATAAACGAAAATGTGACAAAAGGAGCGTCCCTCTGCCAATTTAGAAATATGGATAAAAATACTTAAGATACACGAAGCTTTGGGTAATTGCCATACACACACTCTACCCCCAGTATACCAGTATTTTACAAATTTTAAAACCAGTAACAAATATTTGTTTACAATACCATTCTGCCTAAAATTTATCTATTAGCCAAATTGCTTTATGCATTTAGTCAAATTGTTTTCAGCCAAACCTTATGCGCACATGCTAGCCAGTGGGATGATAAAAGACAAGAGATGTAGTCTGTCTGCTTAAGGTATTCTCACATTTCTGTGCACATAAATACAGTATTGAATGAAAACTTACAGGGTGCTCCAGGGTCAGAAAGGAGGGACATCCAAGTTAACCTGGGATTGGGATGGCCCAAGGAGTCTTCTCAAAAGAAGTGCTTGAAATGACCAGTTGGAGGGCAGGAGCTGTGTTTTATTTGGCTTTATATTTACAGCTTTGTAGAGAATCTATACTAAACAATTATTGGATGAAATAATCATTGAAATCTGAAATAATTATTCATGTAGTAATTTATTGGATGACTAAATGAAATCAAGTTGAAGATGCATGGGAACATGTTTAAACTGTTGTATCTTGGAATTTAAGCTGGATGAAAAAATAAGTCAAAGGAAGCATTTATGTGGGGAGAAATGGAAGCTACATATCTCTTTTTTAAAATCAAAGATTATTCCTAATGGGAAATAAGGAAAAGAGAGAAAATTTGAATCCTGGGAGATTGAGATTGGAAAGAAGCATAAGAGACTTAGGTTTCTGAGAAGTTCTTTCAGATAATGACAGGTTCAAGAGTGGTTCTTTGAGGTAGGAGATGGGTGAAGTGGGGCAAAAATAATAGTTATTTAATGATATTAATAAGTTATGAGGTTAGAATGTTAAGGATAGGTTATACAGAGGACACTGAAACTGCCAAAGATATGGTAACTCAGATATGTTAGTTGGTCTTAACTCAAAAGGTAAAAAGACAGTCATAGTCTTATATTCCTGTAATTTGCACCAGATTTAAAAGATGGAATACTGAGTTCAAAGACTCAGAAATGGTTTATTTTGATTAGATGCTTCCCAAATGGCATTAATATTTAAAGAGAAAAAAAGAAAAAGAAAAGAAAAAAAACCCCAACAAAACTTAGATTTTTCAAGACGTGAGACTATTGCGGCTAAAGCTGTACAAAAAAAGAAAAAAAACTATTTTCTATACTTTTATTGGAAAGATGAATTCCATGTGCAGGTGGCAAGACGAATTGTGTGTGCAGGTGACCTGGCCCAGGTAGTGGTCTCAGTGTGACTGCTTACGCTAAATATGTCCTTAGAAATAAAAACTAGACTTCTTCTTAAATATACTGGATTAAAATGATCCTGAATTAATTCATCTAAACATTGAAATAACTTGCTTTTCTACTTTAAACACAATTTTGCTTAGGAGATCTTTTGATACTGAAGCAAAGAAGTGGCCTTGGGGCTCTTTCTAAGGGTAGAAATCTTGGATAAAAATGTGTGTGTGAGTGTGTGTGTGTGTGTGTGGCGGCGGGGGCGGGGGGAGGGGCGCAGTCAGAATGTGGAATTCAAGCCACTGCATCTGCAGTTGGGAGGAAAGGAAGTGAGTTGGGTTGGGAATGTACCTAATCCCCTCCAGTATTAAAAGGTGGAAAAATGCCAGCGAAAGTTCAAGGTTTAAGATTGTTACAAAGGTGGGGAGGGTTATTAAATCACATATTTAAATAACAGTGAAGTGCAGAGCCATATTGGAGCCTGAAGCAAAGGAAAAATTTGTGTTATTTAACATTTTGATGTTTATTTTGTACATCATAGATTTTACATTAATTTTGATTTTTATATATATTGCATTAAAATATTATTTCTTTTGATTAGTGAGTTTCAGTGCCTCCTTAAAGTTTGCACCTGAGACCAATGCCTCACTCACCTCACCATAGTCCTCAGCAGATCAAGGCAGCTTTCAGGTTCCGTGACCTCAATCTCCAAGACCATTAGGTAGAAAGGCCTGTAAATGGAACCACATGGGGTTTCAGGCAAGGGAGTCTTCATTGCTGAAATGATAGTGCTCAATGGATGAACAAAATGAAGCCATGTTATTGCTGGCCCCAAAGAGATAGTTAAACGAACTATCTGTATGATAAAAGGACCTGGAAATCACTGGGATGTGAGCTGTTGCTACAAACCCAAGACACTGAAAAATAGGTTATTGATTTTGGTCACACGCAGTCCAAACATATCTAAATGTGGTAGAATCATGAAATTAAATCGAATTATACTCCATATATGGTGGTTTTGTTTATATGATGGAACTTAGGCTGTTTTGAAAATATAGATCTAGAACATGTTTCACCTATACTTTTGGGATAAAGTTTTTTGGAAACCTTCTTGATCACTCTTGATATTATTTGGGATATATTTTCTGATGTTTAAATTTTGTTTTTAAGATGTCAGATGGATTAATCTCTAAAGTTCCTTGTAAGAAACTAGGATCTGTTACTAAAGTTGTTTACAAGATAATTATTTTCCTTTTAAAAGGCAAAAGGTAATTATTGACCCTAAAGCCATGAAAATAATGTTAAAGGAGAGAGTTAGGCAAATCTTCAAAGGTATGCATTTAATGTGTTGTTCCTTTCCTTGCTACTATCAACTAATTTTATGGGATTCTATTTGAGATAGGAAGTATCTCTGTGCACGTGTACTTTTTATATAGGAGGGTTGGGGTTTTCTCTTTCCGACATTGACACTCAACTGATAATGAACCTCCACGCTTTTGAGCCAGCCCTAGGGAGCTTGAGCACAAGAGAAAAAAAGATAGTGAAGATTTAATATTTAAATCTTAATATTTTAGTTCATCACTGAAATTTGACACATTGCTTAGTATGAAGATATATGATACAGTTGGTCAGACTTGTGAAAAAATAGTGAGAACTGGAATAATAGGCTCTTTAACTGTGAGAGCTTGAAAAAAATTCTTGAACCCCTGATTTTCAATTTCCTCATCTGTAAAATTAGGATAATAATACTTCCTTAATATAAATAACTTAGAAAAATTGATCAACATGTTCCAAATTGGTCACTTACCAGGGAAGGAAGTGTTTCAAGAGACTCTGTCTATGAATCTCTTATCTTTCACATTTCACCTATTCCACTTACCCTACACAATTAATTTACAATGAAGAAGTATAATCCTTCATCTTCTTTTTGCCATTATTAAAAATATATACATATATATATAAATATATAATTCAAGAAAAGAAATAAAAGCTTATTTCGATGTGCAGACTATACCTCCCTCAGTTACAACTGCATAAATGCTGTCATGCATTCACATCTGTAGCAACAAAACGTTCTCAATTTAGAACAATTCTGAAGGGCATCCCAGCTCCTTAGCTTCCTATTCAAATACCTGTTGTCTCTGTTACAACTACAGTGTAGTTCAACTTTTGACTCTGCCCAATCGTGCTTCTTTCATTTCCTCACAGACTGTTCCTAAGAGTACTTCATCTTCATGTAGATTTTAGACTGCTTCCTGGGGGAGCCAAAACTAAAACGTCTTATAAAATGATTTAAATCACCAAGGTGACTCAGTGGCAGCATAGCAGTAGATCAGAACTAGCTGAGGGCAGATTTTGGAAGGATGAGTCTTGAACTAGTGCCCTTGGCTAGTGCCCATAGACCCCAAGTCTTGCTAGAGAAAATGATTCTAGGTGGGCCTTGGAAATGTGTGGGAGCAAATATTTATACAGCAGCACCTCAGTCTACTGGCACCAATTTACTGTAGTCCATTGTCATGCCACTGATAAAGACATTCCCAAGACTGGGTAATTTATAAAGAAAAAGAGGTTTAATGGACTCACAGTTTCACATGGCTAGGGAGGCCTCATAATCATGATGGAAGGTAAAAGGCACTTCTCACATGGTGGAAGACAAGAGAAGAGAATGATAGCCAAGCAAAAGGGGTTTCCCCTTATAAAACCAACAGATCTCAGGAGATTTATTTGCTAGCACAAGAACAGTATGGGGAAAACTGCCCCCATGATTCAATTATCTCTCCCTGGGTCCCTCCCACAACACAAGGTAATTATAGGAGCTACAATTCAAGGTGAGATTTGGATGGGGACACAGCCAAATTATATCACTAATATACCTCGTGAAATAGCTAACAAAATATTAGCAGGTGGAATCCAGCTATTTAAATAAAGGATTATTCAGGATGACTCAATGCAATGAATCACATCAATACAAAGTTGGTCTAAATATCCAAAAATTAGTTTTATGAAATACACAATACAATGAAGAAAATATATCATAATAGCATCATATTAGGCAAAGAAAAGTTACTTGACCAAATCAAAACTCAATTTTGATATAAAATTCTCAGCAAATTAAGATAGAAAGGTACTTTATAAACCTGATAAAGAAGATCTACAAGAAACTTACAGATAACATCACACATAATGGAGAAAGACTAAATGCTTTCCTCTCAAAGTAGGGAGCAAGGTAAGGATCATTCCTATCATTTTTATTTAACATTGGGTTTTACCCAGTGCAATAAATAAAATAAATAGAAAATAAAGGCAGCCAGTTTAGAAAGGAAGGAATAAAACTCTCTTTATTCTCAAAAACTTAATATTGTATTCTCAAGATGTTTACAAAAACAGTTCTAGAAATAATTCTTAGTAAGTTCATGAGGTACAAGAATATTATATTTCTATATAATGATAAAAACAAATTAAGATAAAATGCAATTTGCACTTAGCACCAAAAAATAAAACATGTAAGAATAAACTTAACAAAACAAATGCAGTATCTTTACACAACAAAATGTAAAACATTAGTGAGAGAATTTAGAGGATCAAAATAAATAGGAAGATTCATCAAGACCAGGTGTATTAGTCTATTCTCATGATGCTGGTAAAGACATACCCAAGAAGGGGAAATTTACAAAAGAAAGAGGTTTAATGAACTTACAGTGTCATGTGGCTGGGGAAGCCTCACGATCATGGTGGAAGTCAAGGAGGAGCAAGTCACGTCTTACATGCATGGCAGCAGGCAAAGAGAGCTTGTGCAGGGAAACTCCTATTTTTAAAATCATCAGATCTCATTAGACAAATTTACTATCATGAGAACAGCATAGGAAAGTCCCACCCCCATGATTCAATTACCCCCAACCAGGTTCCTCCCACAACATACAGGAATTGTGGGAGTTACAATTCAAGATGAAGTATGGGTGGGAACACAGCCAAACCATATCATTCTGCCCCAGCCCCTCCCAAATCTCATGCCCTCACATTTCAAACTCAATCATGCCTTCCTAACAGTCCTCCAAAGTCTTAACTCATTTCAACATTAACTCAAAAGTCCGTAGTCCAAAGTCTCACCTGAGACAAGGCAAGTCCTTTCCACCTATGAGCCTGTAAAATCAACAGGAAGTTAGTTACTTCCTACATACAATGGAGGTATAGGAATTGGATAAATATAGCTGTTCCAAATGGGAGACATTGGCCAAAACAAAGGGGCTATAGGCCCCATGCAGGTTCAAAATCCAGTGGGGCAGTCAAATCTTAAAGCTCCGAGATGATCTCCTTTGACTCCATATACAAATGGCCAACAATCATATGAAAAAAATCCTCAACATCACTAATTATCAGGGAAATGCAAATGAAAACCATAATGAGATACCACCTTACTCCTGCAAGAATGGCCATAATCAAAAAATCAAAAAATAATAGATGTTGGTGTGGATGTGTTGCAAAAAGGAACACTTTTACACTGCTGGTGGAAATGTAAACTAGTACAACCACCATGGAAAACAATGTGGAGATTCCTTAAATAACTAAAAGTAGAACTACCATTTGATCCAGCAATCCCACTACTGAGTATCTACTCAGAGGAAAAGAGGTCATTATACAAAAAAGATACTTGCACACTCATGTTTATAGCAGCACAATTTGCAATTGCAAAATGTGGAACCAGCCCAAATGCCCATCAATCAATGAGTGGATAAAGAAACTTTTATATATATATATACACACACACACACTAGAATACTACTCAGCCATAAAAAGGAATGAATTAATGGCATTCACAGCAACCTGTATGTAATTGGAGACTATTATTCTAAGTGATGTAACTCAGGAACAGAAAACCAAACATCATATGATCTCACTCATAAGTGGGAGCTAAGCTCTGAGGATGCAAAGGCATAAGAATGATAAAATAGACTCTGGGGACTCAGGGGAAAGGGTGGGAAGGGGGTGAGGGATAAAAGACTACAAACTGTGTTCAGTGTATACTACTTGGGTGGTAGTACTCCAAAATCTCACAAATCACCACTAAAGAACTTACTCATTAACCAATTACCACCTGTGCCCCAAAAGCCTATGAAAATAAATTTAAAAAGCAATTGGGGTAAACAGAAAAGATCATATTTAACAGCCATCTACTGGGCTAAAAAACTGCAGATTGCAGGTGTCATAGAAGTTGCACACCCGTGATACCACTGCCCTTTCTGGGGATCCCCCATGCTTGAGCCACTGTGTTACTGGAAAGCAGTCCCGATCCAGACCCCAAGAGAAGGTTCTTGAACCTTCCACAAGAAAGAATTCAGGGTGAGTCCATAGAGCAAAGTGAAAGATAGTTAATAAAGAAAATAAGAGAATAAAAGAATGGGTACTTCATAGGCAGAGCAGTGGCATGGGCTGCTCAACTGAATATATTTCTAGTTATTTCTTGATTATATGCTAAACAAGGGGTGGATTATTCATGAGTTTTCTGGGAAAGGAGCAGAGATTTTCCAGAACTGAGAGCTCCTGCTCTCTTTAGACTATATAGGGTAACTTCCAGACATTGCCATGGCATTTGTAAACCGTCATGGTGCTGGTGAGAGTGTCTTTTAGCATAATGCATTATAATTAGCGTATAATGAGCAATGAGGACAACCAGAGATCACCGGCATCGCCATCTTGGTTTTGGTGGGTTTTGACCGGTTACTATGCCACATCCTGTTTTATCAGCAAAGTCTTTGTGACCTCTACCTTGTGCTGACTTCCCATCTCATCCTGTGACTAAGAATGTCTAGTCTCCTAGAAATGCAGCCCAGTAGGTCTCAGCCTTATTTTACCCAGCCCCTATTCAAGATGGAGTCACTCCGGTTTGAAAATCTCTGACAACTGCATCACCAGATCACACACAGACAACCCCACAGTCCCCTCTGACTTCCGCAAGCACAGAGAACTGGTGGGTCCCAGGTAGTAATGGATTGCCTGGTGACTACCCCTTGGTGCTGACTGCCCCTAAGGGAATACAGAAAGCATAGCTTGCCAAAGCCCCCTTTAGGACAAAGGTAACATGAGTGTAAGTGCCAGTAGCTGAAGGAGACACCACCAAGGCCCAGGAATGGACTTAGAGAGAGAGTCATGTCTTGTCTTCCACCACTCCTCACCAGAAAGAACACTGCTTCAGATGCACTAAAATAAAAATGGGCAAATACAGTGAGTAGGAGCCTATCCCCTGGCCTTCACTGTTAAGTGCTACCAACTGGAAGGCAGCCTAAATTATACCACAAAACAAAATTACATTGCTACAACAAGCAACGTCTGAGAAAGTCACTGCATGAACCTAGCTGCAAACAAGGAACCTATACAGAGCCTTGGCACCCTAAAAGCACCTAGAAATGAAGCCAATTGATCAGACATCATACACACCACTGTTGTATCCCTAAGGGGAAAAAGATTTAAAAATAATGAAAATCCATCCAAATGATAGCAAATTAAAAAGGAGAGAAGAATCAGCTATCCCAGATGAGAAAAAACGAGTGCAAGAACTCTGGACATAAAAAAGCCACAGCATTTTATCACCTCCAAAGAACCCCACTAGCTCCCAAGCAATGGATCCTAAAAAAAGAAATGTCAGAAATGACAGACATAGAATTCAGAATATGGATGGCCAAAAAACTCAACCAGATTCAAGAGAAAAATTAAATCTAACAAAAAGAACCTAGAAAAATGATCCAAGTTTTGAAAGATGACATACTTTTATTAAGAAAGAACTAAGCAGAATTTCTGGAATTGAAAAATTTATGACAGAAATTTCAAATTACCGTTGGAAGCCTTAACAACAGACCAGACCATGCAGAAAAAAGAATTTCTCAGTTCAGAGACCATTCCTTCAAATCAACCCAGTCAGACAAAAATAAAGAAAAAAGATTTTAAAAAATCAACAAAGCCTTTAAGAAATATGGAATTACATAAAACAATCAATTTGTGATTCACTGTCATTCATGAGAGAGAAGAGAATGTAAGCAACTTGGAAAACATATTTAAGGATATAGTCTGAAATTTCCCCAAGCTTGCTAGAGAATTCAATAGCACAGACACAAAAAATTCAGAGAACTCCTGTCGATATTACACAAGATGACAATCCTGAAAGCATGTAGTCATCAGATTTTCCAAAGTGAACATGAAAGAAACAATCTTAAAGGCAGCTAGAGAAAAGAGCCATATCACCTGTAAAGGGATGTCCATCAGTCTAACAGCAGACTTCACAACAGAAATTGTACAAGCCACAAGAGTCTGGGGGCCTGTTTGTAGCAATCTTAAAGAAAATAAAGTCCAACTAAAAATTTCATATTCCACCAAGCTAAGTTTCATAAATGAAGCACAAATAAAGTATTTTCCAGGTAAGCAATCACTAACGAAATCTGTTACTACCAGACCGGCCATATAAGAGATGCTTAAGGGAGTTCTAAACACAGAAATGAAGGAACAATATCTGCTACCATCAAAACATATATAAGTACAATGCCCACAGGTGCAACAAAGCAACCACACAATGGAGATTACAAAGCAACAGCTTACAACACCATAACCTCACATAAAAATATTAATCTTCAATGTAAACATTCAAAACACTCCACTTAAAAGACACAGACTAGCAAACTGTATTGAAAAAACAACATCCAGGTCAGGTGCAGTGGTTCACGCCTATTATGCCAGCACTTTGGGAGGCCGAGTCGGGCGGATCATGAGGTCAGGAGTTGGAGACCAGCCTGGTCAATGTAGTGAAACCCCGTCTCTATGAAAAATGCAAAAAAAATAGCCGAGTGTGATGGCGGGCGCCTGTAGTCCCAGCTATTTGGGAGGCTGAGGCAGGAGAATTGCTGGAACGCAGGGAGGGAGGCGGAGGTTGCAGTGAACCGAGATCACGCACCACTGCACTCCAGCCTGGGCGACACAGCAAGACTCTGTCTCAAAAAAAAAAAAAAAAAAAAACAAACCACAAGATCCAACCTTCTACTGTCTTAGCAAGACCCATCTCACGTGGAATGACACTCATAGGCTCAAAGTAAAGGGATGGAGAAAATAGCACACAAATGAAAAACAAAAAAAGAGCAGGATCCCTTTTCTTTTATTTTTCCTTTTTTTTTTTTCTTTTTTTTGAGACTGAGTCTCACTCTTTTGCCCAGGCTGGAGTGCAGTGGCGCCATCTCAGCTCACTGCAACCTCCGGCTCCCGGGTTCAAGCAATTCTCCTGCCTCGGCTCTCGAGTAGCTGAGACTACAGGCGCGCACCACCATACCCAGCTAATTTTTTTGTATTTTTAGTAGGGACAGGATTTCATCATGCTGGCCAAGCTAGTCTCAAACTCCTGACCTTGTGATCTGGCCACCTCGGTCTCCCAAAGTGCTGGGATTATAGGCCTGAGCCACCGCGCCCAGCCAGGATCCCTATTCTTACATTGGATAAAACAAACTTGAAACCAGCAACAGTATAAAAGGACAAAAAAAGAAAATACGTAATGATGAAGGATTTAATGCAACAAAAAAAATTTAAATATACACAACCAGCATTGGAGCACTCAGATGTATGAAGCAATTACTCCTAGATCCAAAAAAAGACTTAGATAGCCTTTTTTGAAGTCCCTCCACACAGTAATAGTGGAGGGACTTGAACACCGTATTGCAGCATTAGACAGATCATGGAGGCAGAAAACTAATGAAGAAATTCT